CATACATACATACATACATACCGTGTCGTGCTGTGACCGCGGCAAGACCCGAAGCAGGTGCTAACCCAAAAGCAGTGCTTTTTCCACCAAAGCCGCCAGTGCCAGGGTTTCCTTTCCAAGAAATCACACCCCCGAAACCGGAAACGCCGAGCCCCAAGCTCCAAAACCAATACATCCCACCCGCAGCACGCTTACATACAACTCGAACCAACAGATACATGAACTCCCTAAACGTCTGCAAGCCTTGAACATCCTCAACTTCTTAGGGGGTGTTGGCTATGTTACAGTATGGCATACCGCCTGCATTCTGAAGCCTACAGCTCACAGCATCAGGCGGAACGGCCTTGAGAGACCTGGGGGCTCTCCGATGGCTCGGCGCAGGGGTCCAGAGCCTAGTGTCGGGTTTAGGGCCCGAGACCAGGCGATGTATTGGACCCGGCCCGAACAATCGGATGGAGCATAGACCGACATGGCGAGGGCTGGCGACGATAAAACGACCAAGCTTTGTCAAGCTGTTCGGTGTCCCATGCCATTCTGACTCGTCCACATGAAGGGCTTCCGGACTTTGATGCTAAGGGCTGCCAACGATCGCGCTGTTGGGCTCAAGTGAGAGGTGGCGTTCCTTCTGCTCGACAGCGGGCATTCAACACGCAGAGTTCGTCTAACCCACCGCAAGTTCATGTGGGTAGTGTCGGCACGCATGCACTTCACCTAGCTTAAGCTTAGTAGCCCACCAGCACACTTGCACACTCGCTGCTAGCCTAAACAGAACAACAGTACGAAGAGCTGACCCGTCGCACAAGAACGATAGAGCCGTCGCACAAGAACGATAGAACATGTTTGTAGCGTGCAAGAGAGATGAGCCTCGACCTATGAGACTTGCCACAGATTCCAACCCCACACCGGGGAGTTTCCGCCGCCTACCCAGTTCACCCCAGACCCAGAGACCAAAGCAGATGCACCCTGTAACACCCATCCTGAGTCCACCCTTAAGCCTGAACCCGACTGCGCCCGCCTGCCGTGCGGAAATCGGTCATGGGCTCCTGGCGCAGATGGCGGGAAGGCTTGTGACCCTGCTGTCGATAGCCTTCGTGGCCAGGGGGCCCAGCCAGCGAGGGCTGTGTCAGGTTGCAGTAAGTGATCCGTTTTGTGCGAACGCATATCGACCGGTGCTTGGATTGAAGGCTTTGGGGACGGGTGTTGGTTCAGCATTCGCACGTGGATCCAAGCTCTTCCAACTGAGTTGCAATTTCTCGCGAGTGTCATGTTTGGAGCTGGAACTGAGACCGTGCTGCATTGCGATGTAAAATACCCAGCCCTCTAAAGCTTGCAAGGAAGTCCTGAGAGTAGCATAGCGATCGTGTCATTCTGCCCCGCTGAGGTCGGCAATGTGGCGCAGGATGAGTCGTTGGCAAGGCGGTATGATTGTAAGTAGTCTAGGTCTGGGTGAGCTGTAGTGCCCCCGAGGTGCACACCTTGCTAATGGCTGGAATATTTCAAAGATCCAAGTCTAGAATGGATTTGGCTTTGTGGCAGGGTTGAGGAGTGCTGAGATTCTCGATTTTCGATGTCCAAAATCCTGCCTTTGGCCCTGGCAAAATCACCAGCCCTAGTACTTACATAGGGGTCTCAATAACAAGAAATAGAATACCGTATCCTCTTTTGTAGTTGGATATACTTATCCGTAACAACTCCCTCTTCCAACTATCAAGGTGCCTGCTTTCGAACCTGCTACATTCTGGCAACCTAGTAAAGAAACCCTTGAAGCACCTCTTACGTTATAGGGCTCCTACCCCTGAAAAAAGCCCTTGAGTTATGGGGCTCGTTTTCCTCAAAAAACCCTTATAAGTTATAGGAGGCCTACTCCATCTAAACCCTAAGCCCGAACCATAAACCCTAAACCCAAAACCCTAAGCCCTAAACCCGAAACCCGAAACCCTAAACTCTATTTACCAAGTCCCCCTTTCTGCGGAGTTGCCTGGAGGCAGCTAGCCGAGGATGCCGCTAATTCAGTGACCGAGGCGCCGGTTTCTTTTGATTGGCCATTGGCCGGTTTAAGGGTTGAAGGACTTTGGGACTTTGGGCTTAGAGTTTCGGGGTTTGCGGTTTACAGTTTAGGGTTTAGAGTTACCCCCAAAGCTACCTCTGTCAGGAACTACGCGGAAATCATACAAGACGGAATCCCCACCTCCAAGTGTTGACGCATTTGCTCGGGTCTCCCGCAGTTCTCTGCAGCCGCCGTCGCAGCTGGCCCTTGTGCAAGCATGGTCTTGTGCAAGCATGGTTTTCCACCACGGGCTTGTGCTGGGTGAATTGAATTTCTCATCGGGCAGGTAGTATATACCACTTGGTGCAGGCTTTCCTTGCTTGCCAAGTTGTGTTTCATGTGGGTGAGTAGTTTACATGACCTTGTGCCCCTGTACCAGTTCTCGTTGCATAGAAAAGGAGCAGACCAAGAGATCACAAAGCAAACCAAAGGATCCCTCGCCGTGTCATGCGGGACTGGACTCGGCAGTGACCGTAGGATCAGGGTTTGGAACCCTTCTTGACGAAGGCTTTTTTTCTGGGCGGGTTTAGGGTTTCGTCTTTCAGCCCATGGTCGTCACCCTAAACTAAACTCCTTACACTCTGTTTCGCTCATCAAGTTTGTCCCTCAGCCTCAGAACCCTGGGCAGGAGGTTAGCCACAAGCAGGGACTTGCCATTCTCTGGCAATCCCTGGAGAAGGTGCCATGGATGCTCGGCCTTTTTTGGATTCCGGCTTTTCAGGAGCTACGAAATGGGGTAGTATCAGGGTGTTTCTTAGGAAGCATGTTCATGTTCATTTTGACGGAAAACAGTGTGGGCCATTGAACACAATGTTTTACTTCGGGTCTATAGTCTAAACAGACGCGGAGTTTCGCCTTCTAAAGGATTCCTGCTGTGCCAATCAATGCCCGTGGAATCACATCAGTCTTGGTTGCTGATGGGAGCCGCCGAGTGATGAAGTGATGAGCAGAGCACCCACCCCAACGGCCTCGAAAGACACTGAGGAAGCACATGATGCTAACCTTGGCTGGCACGGTTTCGATTGCCCCGATGGTTATACTTCTCGTCGTGGCCGTGGTATTGCCGGGGCCTTGTGATCTCCGGGTCTACTTGTGAAGTCGGGTGGGCTTATACTAGCTTTTAGAGGCTTTTACAGCCTCTCAACCTCCCTGAAGCCCGTCCGGTTCAAGATTCGCTTCATTCAACTCGACCCGTGAGCGAAAGCCAACATCTTCAAAGCTCATAACCCCCCCCCCCCGCATCACATCGAGAGAATTCCTCA